GGTAAAAATATATAAATTAACTAATTATAACTGATTAACTAATCTATATTGAATAAACTGTATCTTTTAATAAATAATATTTTAATATGAATTAATTAATAATACATTCAATCGCAAATTTAATTTTTTAGACCAACTAATCTGAGTAAATCTAAAATTAAGGATTTGTTCCATTACTAATGTAATAAAACAATGAATATGAGACGTAACAGTATCTTTTTTAACAAATGTTTTATTGATAAATAATCCTTGCGGTTCACAATAAGTGACCAATTTGCTTTTGGCACGCCCATTAAGAAAATACTAAATTCTATTCAAAAATACCTAGTATGACTAGACTACCCTTAATTAAATATTTAATGTGAGGAGTAAGAAAACTTTTTAGAAATATGTACATAAGGGTAATTTTGTAAAAACAAATTGAATTCTTTCTTGATTATACAAATGGACATTTATTTTGAACCAAAATCAAAAAGCAAATTAGTCAGTTATTATGGACCGGAGGGAGTAGAAAATAGGATTGGTAAGATACGATATTATTTTGTAACAAATTATCCTAATTAAAAAACTTCTCATAGGAGAATAGGAGCAGCAAATTAGGAGTATGTTTAGGGAAGAATCGCTTACATAGTACATATGTGAGTGAGTTCATCGAGAGTTACGTACATTGATTTAAAAGTTTCATACGCTAGAGTGTACTGTTTAATCAATATTATCTTCAACGCTGAAACCAAGTAGTCTCAGCTTCTTCTACAGCTGACCGACTGCACTCCTTACCTATAAGAACCGATCCCCTTTTTTTTTATTGGAAGGATTATATTAATATAAAACTTATGGAATACAGATGAAGTTTGTGGTTTGTTAGAAGAAGAACAGGATAATCAATATGACAAAATCATTAAGGGGTAAACGGCATCAAGTGTGGTTTCACTCCGAGGTGGCATTATAGTAAAGTAGTGCTAGAGAGGAGAAAGTAGAATAAATTAAAGGAAGATGAAATTCACCAACTGTCGGATCTCTCTTATTGAATTTGCACACTAATCACTGCGAGTAAAAACATATAATACTAGGGATTATGGAGAGGTAATATAAGTGCTGCAATGGGGAAAATTTGCTTATCAAGAAAATATTTCCATGATAGAAAAGCCTTTCTGATCTTTCCTGCTAAGTATGTTTCACCAAATGAAAGAAAAAGAAAATGCAAACATTGTTTTTTTCCCATTGGTATTCACAAGTAATCGCCGAAAACCTCCCGTATGTCCAATGTCTTCTTAGAATATAAATGTAAACGCATTCTCACAATCCACCAACAAAATCAGCACTATTAGCAAAAGGATATTCCAACCCATCCCCCTTGCCCTCTCTGTCAGGTCTCTCAGAAAAAAACTGCTGGGATGGTGTAGCTGCCAACATCCCCAAACAACTGCAGGGATGGCGCAGCTTGTGCTATGCGTGCAGACATAGAGCGAGGGGGAGATTATTACATTTTATTCCATCCAAAACAGCATTTACAACGCTAGATATACTCCATTACTAGTCAGTACAACAACATATCTGATCCCAAGCTTTAGATAGAACAGACAGGGCTTTATGAAGGAAAAACTGTCTACCAAGATATAGACACAGTAGCCTTTCAGTCATAGCAGCGTATTAAATGCTTCGATCAGTAATGCAAAAGGTAACCGAACACCATGCTAATAAAGGCTACAGTAACTACATACAGGAGAGGAAATCCAACCCGGACTTTTCTTCCACCTTTTTTACTTGTCAACATGACCTGCAAAGCATATCACCACAAAAAGAACACGACAACAGGGTTAACTAGGGACACTTCTTATTGAGATCATGCATAGGAGTGTCGTGACAGAAATACAAATTTCTCCCTTCCTCACTCCGCCTGTGCACATTTTGTAAGACTTAAATTACCAATCAAAGGCAATAACAATTTGCTTGAGCTAAAGCCAGACTAACATAAACTCGGACAAGTTATGCAGCATTCTGGCTATTGTTAGCCCAATAGAGATTTAGTTAAGATAGCATCCCAAAATTTTGAGGACTTCTACTGATGTCATGATCTTAATGTAATAATATTAACAAAAAATTGTATATAACCCATATTGCAACAAACGGAATTACCAATTCTCTTTGTAAGCTCTCTCTTTCTTGAGCAGCAAACTTCCTCTCCTCCGTTAGCTTAGAGATGGTGTCTTTGGCCTGCAAGAGAGTAAAAGAGAGTGAGAAACAGCACTACCCCTAACAATTACGGACACTAAAACTAATCAACTCATGCTTGAACAAAATTTGATCTGTGGAACTCTTATCGAATGCTCCAGAAGACTAGAAAAATCATCAGCCATAAAGGTCTTTAACAAGCAGTTGATTTAGTTTCTAGTTTTATCCTTTTATCCTTGAAACAGAAAAATGACCAGACAATGCCTCAAATCAAACATAAACCTTTTCATAGGTGGACCAACTTGACCAATAAATCCAAAACTCTTACAAACCAAAACCCTATGCTTAAATGAGGCACACTTAATAAGAGAAACTTATTTTGCCTGAATCCCTTTTGAAATTCCATAAGGTCGATCTTACTCCTGGAATACTTTGAACCTCATCATGTACTGGACATCAAATATGATGAAAGTGTTTCTACAAAAATCTGAGCGGCGATTATCAAGATTCTGCTAGAAAGAAACCACCCTTCATAATTGTAGGGAGTCTGTTTTCTGTCATAAGTTGATTCCCCAGGGCACGTTCTTTATGGAATGGAAGTTCTGGGCCATTAAAGTCCTCTTAAAAAAAATAAAGAGATAATGGAAAAATTAAGAATAAATCAAAAGCTTCTATGGAACTGTTTCAAAGTTCACTAGGTAAATCTATTTTATGTGGATCACAAGGAATTAGAGGGATCCTGTCATCAAGAGGAAACTTTGCAGAATACAGCACCTAGTCTGATGTTCTAGAGGCCATTAGAGGAAAAGCAGACTCTGGTGCTGAAAACTTTCTGAAATTGTGAGAGAGTCATTTGTTGGAAGTGACTCAGCATATTTTTGTATGTTCCTTACATCCCCTTGCTTGATTGATGTAAGGTACGAACTGATTCTTCTTCATTAATGAGTGGCTTCTTTCTATTTTATTTTTTATTTTATTTTTGGATAAGGAGTGGCTTCTTTTTGAAATGTAAAAAGTATATTTACTTCCAAGGCAAATGCTAAAAACCACAAATACTCTCAATTTTCGTTCATGACAGAACAAAGTTGTTCCAAATGCAATTGACACAAAAGAAAAAAGTAAAAGAAAAAAGGAAGGTAAAAATTTCTGACCTCACTTAAATTTCGTTCAAGTTCACTTATTTTGTACTTCATGTTCTCAACATCCTTGACTAATTCCATCTCTTCTCCATGCTTCCTCGTCTCCAACTGCACATGCTTTTCTTCCATTTGCATGTTGGCATTTTCCTTTTTGAACTCCTTCACATTCTCATCCAGCTGGAGAAAGTAGATAGATATAACATATTACCAGAAAATATAAACATTGGAAAATTCAATCTGAATCAACTGGAACTGTTGAAATTACTGAGAATTAATCTAGCTGTACGTTAATATATTCTACATATAGAATAATCGTCATAGTTCTGTCAAAATTAGGAATCTCAAGATTTAAGTAATTATCCTTATTTAGTAACTTTCTTCATTTATGTGCAGTCTAAACTTGTACCGATCATATATTGTTTACAACCAATTTAAGACATATTTGCTTTTTTTAATTTCTCTATATTTTAGATGGTTTAGAGCCTCTATAATCGTGGTAGACCTAAGTAACAACCATCATCTGGTAGGGGATGTTACGCATCCTTCTTGGCCGCAGTTTTAGAACCAAGCCCAAATTGACATATATGATAAAACTTACCAATACTCATTGGTATTATTTTATCTATAACCAGTCTTTAAGTTCTGGTTCAGAATAATAACTTACTTCTTGCGGTGGATTTCGATTTGCACGGGGGGTTACTTGATCTCTTGTGAACGAATCTTCGAAAAATCCACCACTGTGGCTGTGTACTCCATTGACATCTCTCTGAAAATGATTACTATTATTTAGCTAGACGGAATTACATATCAAACCATATGGTCGACAGATTCTGGTTTCTGAACAATACTACTTACTTCTTGCTGTCCACTGATATTTTCGTTACGTACTTCATCTTTTCGCGGTGAATCTTTGTAACTTGGAAGATCACTATGTACACCATTGATTGGTGATAAAACAGGCGAACTGGGTGGACTGACAAGGATCACTCTCATCTTATTTTCTTGAACATACTTGCCATCATCTTTGGAAAACTACAATCAAAGCAGTCAGAAATTGCATCAGAATGCAAAAGTCAACAGCGTCTAGTTTAGCCTTGAATGATGGCTACCTAAAATGATAGAATAATCCATCGAGAATATACCATGGCTGATGTAATATCCTCCTCAACAGTCTCCTCTGCCACAACAGTGCTTTGAACTAAGAACTTGTCCTTGCATGCCATATCAGGAGGAGGTGCCTTTTGTGCCTGCATGGTTACTACATAAATAAGATGCGTTAAAAATCTTACTGCGGTGCCTACGATAAATTTATTACTCTAGCTAACAGAAACAGTATATCTA